CAGTGTTTAAATTCATTTTGTAAATTGCCTTTATTTTAATCATTTTAATGTGTTCAAAAATTCTACTTCTATATATATAATCGAGACGAGTTGATAATAATAATAATCAGCGCAGAGCCCAAACGGTTAGGAGTTGGAAGCTGAAATTTGGTACACAGTTAGGGTACGTCACGAAAACGCACCTAAGAAGGGATGTTTCGAAATTCCCTCCAGGTGGAAAGAGACAAAATTAAGGTATCGACAATGGAACGGGGTTATATAGAACCCCCGGCATGTTTAAACTCGTGTATTTTTTAAAATTTTTTGTGTTTAAAAATGATGCCCTCGGTCTCCCCTATTTATTTATCTTATCACCACAATTTTGTCTTATCTGTGAGGTGAAAGTTAATGAGGTGAAAATTTACCTCAATTTATATATCTATACATCGTTTGAATGAATTAACTGTTAATAAAATTTTTGTTACAAAAGCGATGTAACTTTATGAAATTACACTAAATGTTTCCAAAACATAGCTTATAGTAAAACTGAAAAAGGATATCTAGAATAATTTAAAATTTATTAGGCACTATATAATTTTGTAGATAATTGTAAATACATCACCAAACGATCGCCTAAATATCGGGCCATAATACGGCTAATTAAATGATTGGAATAAAGTAATTTGACACTAGAGGTAGACATTAGGCGCCATCTTTTAAGTAAATTAATAATTAAAATGATTAATTTATTTAAGAGTTAGTTGTGGATATTTATATATATATATATACCTCGCCGGGTGTTGCGTTAGCTGGCTGAGTGCCGTTATGGCCGTGGGCGAAGGAGTCGTCCCCAGTCAGTAATGTATTTAACCAAAGTAAGGTTATATCTAAATCTAATATACTTCTGGAAGCGAAGCGATTATTAATTTACTTAAGAGGTGGCGCCTAACGTCTACCTCTAGTGTCAAATTACTTTATTCCAATCATGTAATTAGCCGTATTATAGCCCGATATTTAGGCGATTGTTTGGTGATGTATTTACTACTCGGGCTATGAGTTGTTGATATTTATATAGATAATTGTAAATAATGAATTTTTGGTAATTGATTGTTTCTCTCATAATTATTTGTTTCTCCCTCGAAATTAGCATTAAGTTGCTATTGAGAACAAATCACACGGGAACACTTCTTTGATCTAAAAAGTAGGTTCATTTTTTATAATTTAGAAAATATATGCACTTCTGGCCCTATGCCCCTCTTTAGCCTTTATTTCATTAATTTATCGTCAGAAATCAATGTAAGATATTGCATAATGTAGTAAATTATATTTAACATACGTGCACAGAAAGTTTTTAAAAAATATATAATTACCTAACAAATATTAATATTAATAGTTTCCGCTAAAATAACAACAATTAAAACCGTGGAATGAAAGAAGTAAAACTAAAATAAGTTACAAAATAAATATATAAATAAATGAGTAAAATTATAAAAAATAATAAATTAGTATACTTGAAAAATAAATATATTCCCATTAAAATATGCAAATAAAGGTAGTAAAACCATAAAACCTTAATATCAATGAAACAAGGTGAAGTTCCGCTGTATGCTTACCAGAAAATACGATATTTTGTACGATAAAATGGAAATGAGTTGATGGGGAAAGAAAGAAAGAAACTTAAAATGAACTTTACAACTTTGGTACTAATGGCTGACAGTTCTCACTGATGACAACAACAGTGTTTAAATTCATTTTGTAAATTGCCTTTATTTTAATCATTTTAATGTGTTCAAAAATTCTACTTCTATATATATAATCGAGACGAGTTGATAATAATAATAATCAGCGCAGAGCCCAAACGGTTAGGAGTTGGAAGCTGAAATTTGGTACACAGTTAGGGTACGTCACGAAAACGCACCTAAGAAGGGATGTTTCGAAATTCCCTCCAGGTGGAAAGAGACAAAATTAAGGTATCGACAATGGAAGTGTTAAGTAACAATGGCGGTGTTAGGTAACAATGGAAGTGTTACGTAACAATGGAATTGTTAAGAGAAAGCGACGTGCAAGATTTACAGGCGCAGATGCAGTTCTTTCGTTTTTGCAGGAAATCGAACATATTTTTAGAACCATCTAAAAGTTTTCCAATTAGTCTGGAAACAAGGGGACTCAATTCTTGCATTCTGTGAAAACGGGTAAGGTTGACTGTAACGTTATAATCTTTATATTAGTTAGCGTTACTTTTGTCCGAGCAAAGCCGGCTCACCTGCTTGTTTAATAATATTTTTGTAAGCGTTTTGACACTGTCAAGTAAGATCTCTCAGAGGCATGATTACATTGCATAGTAACTGCCGAGTTGGTGTAATTATATTTAAGAGACCTTATATTTTTTCTTCTTCGAATTATTAACATTCTACCAAATTCACCTATGTAATAATTATTTGGATGATACGTACAAGTAAAGTCATAAATTAAATTATTTAACATAACCTCTATTATTCTAATAACTGGTTCTTTGTTTTTTTAAGAAATTCTTCATTAGGTTATTTAGTATGGGTGTTAGATTTATATTAAATGGTGTTCATATTTTTCGAATGTTTTCAAAAATTATTTGAGAATAATATAGTTTGATACAAAATATTTCTGTTTTAGGAATCGGTTGTTTTATTGTAAGACCATTCTTTAATAATTTTGTTGAAGTAGTCTCTACTTCAAAGCATATATTGTTTTAGATATTAAAAAAATTTAAATTACAGGTGTAAATTTAATGGCTCAACAAAAATTAATTATAAAGATTTTATACTAAATTTAACAAGTATATACCGCATTTTTTAATTAAGTAACTTCCGTAACAAAATTATTAAAAATCGCTATAAAACCATTCAATAAAACACGCAATTGCTAACAGACAATTAACTTATAAAAAATAAATTATACCCGAATAATTTTTGAAAACATCCAAACAATATTAACATCATATAATATCAATGTAACCCACATACTATATAACAAAATTAAGAATTTATTATTTATGTATTTACTTATTTGTTTAATTTGTTTCAGTTTTACTAGTCAATGGGTTTTATTAGTTTTAAAAGAAATATTATACTTTTACAGTTATATATTACGTTATTACCTTTTAACATTTTTTTCATTTATTTATTTACTTATTATTACAAGGCTATGTCTTGCTTATAAAATCGTTCCGCTTGCTGAATAACCGGCTTAGAGGTATGAAGATAACATGTCAAGATTTGCAATTTGGCACAGAAGATTAATTAAGTACCTAAATCATGCGCGCATAAAAAACCAGAATTTTAGTCCTTAGGGAACCAAAAACTTAGTCAAAATAAAATTCAAAATAGTTACACTCTCTTCAGAAAGGCAGTAGTACAAGATTTGCTCATGCGTTGCTCGTTGCAAAGTTGTAAATTCGAACTTTTCAAAACGAACTTTGACAAACGAATCTTTGAAAAAAAACTTGTTCACCTGTCCCGTGTTACACCTGACATATTTCTGGTAGCGATGTGCTGACGTTGACCGATTGACCCGAGATATCTCGTTTCAGCATTGAAAGTTTTTTTTCAAAGTAGAAGGCGCTTGAAGTTATAATCATATAATAAAACTAAATTCCGATATGTAATTTGTTTTTTTTTTACATCTATATATATAATCGAGACGAGTTGATAATGATAATAATAAGCGCAGAGCCCAAACGGTTACTAGTTGAAAGTTGAAATTTGGTACACAGTTAGGGTACGTCACGAAAACGCACCTAAGAAGGGATGTTTCGAAATTCCCTCCAGGTGGAAAGAGACAAAATTAAGGTATCGACAATGGAAGTGTTAAGTAACAATGGCAGTGTTAACAATGGAAGTGCTAAGTAACAATGGAAGTCTTAAGAATGAAAGTGTCAACAATAGATATGTCAACAATGGAAGTGTTACGTAACAATGGAATTGCTAAGAGAAAGCGACGTGCAAGACGCAGATGCGTTGGTTTTTTCGTTTTTGCGGAAAATCGAACATAATTTTAGATCTATCTAAAAATTCTGTAATTAGTCTAGAAACAGGGGGACCTAATTCTTGCATTCTTTGAAAGCGGGTAATATTGACCATAACGTAATAATCTTAATCTTCGCAATCATTACTTTATGCTCGAGCAACGCCGGGCCTATCTGCTAGTTTATTAATATAATATATATATTGTTTGTGCAAAATCAAACAATTATTTTGGACAATACGATAGCCATGTTTATTTTTTTCAATAAACAGGATAGGTTAATTTTATCAAAAATGCATAGTGGACGATTTCGTGGTTGTGGGCAGCGAAGTTTGAAAGCTCGCGCTCAAAATCAAATACCAACGAAGATTGGATAATGAGAACGAGACCCCCCTTGAGAGTCAAAGTGATTCTACTTAGTAGTGAGATTTCGAGACAGTCTTGTTCAAAATACAACCTTGCCATTTTACTTGCTTAATTTATTTTAATTTTACTTCTTTTACCTCACGCTTTTAATTATTGTTTTTCCAGCTGTGATTATCATCAATATTTGTTAGGTGATTATATTTTTTGAAAAATTTTCTGTACGCGTATGTTAAATACAATTTAATACATTCTAAAATAACTTTATAGTTTTTTGCCGATAAAGTTAATAAGATAAGGATTAAAGAGAAGGATAGATTTCGAAATGCTTATTCGTTCTAAATTATAAAAAATAAGCCTACCGTTTCATTCAAAAAATTGTTCCTGCACGATTTATTTTAAATAGCAACTTTATAAAAAGATATACAATAAATTTTGAAATCACGAATTGCCTTAGAATTTGTAGAGTACTGATGTTATAAAATATTTATTCACAACATTTTAAATTAATAGAAAATAAACATATTTTAAGAAAAGATGAATACAGTTTATTAAACAATGTAACTCTTCATATTAGTGCACGCTATATAGAAAAATAATAACATTTTACAAATTTCTATATATTTAAGAAACAAAATTATCAGAAAAGTCATACTCACAGTGCCACCTTGTTTCTAAACGATAAGAATTTTTATATTTATTTGTCTTTTTGTAAAATCCATTCAGACAAACTTACACTAAAATATTCCACTAACGTTAGCACCAAATCATATTTCTCAAATACGAGTAGAATCAGCTTTATTTTTAGCATCAAATTACTTCCATAAATAGTAAATGTAAAAATGTTAAAAATAAAAAATTGCAAATTAATTTTACATTACTATAAATTAATACCTATTTACTTATTTGTTGTAAATTGGTACCAGAAAAAGTTATACTATAATTTAAAAAATTATTATGTTCATATATGCAAAAATACACAAGATTTGATATCAATTGAACGCTATAACTTCTAAAGAAATATTTAAGTTTTTCTGAAAAAAATAATCACAACTTTGCAGTAAAAAATTTTAAAAAGTGTGAACAAGACATTAAGCGTTAACCGTAAAAATAAATATGAACTTTTAGCTGCAACGAAATATAAAATTTGAATGTACAGCGAACATATACAATTAAAAGAAGTAATGTTTGCAATATTAAAATGGAACATGGATTTACGTTATATTACTCTAACTTATTGCCCCTATTATAACTATTGCAATTTTGTGTTACTACATGATTAAACTTTTAGGGCTTATCACACTGATTTAGTTGACACGAACAGAGTACGGTAGAAAAATAACGTTGAGTATAGTTTTTACTGTAGTTGTTCGAACAAGAAAAAGTATATTGGGAAACTAAGTGATAGTTAAAGATAAGTTTAGGAAAAAATGTAAGATCAGTTAAAACTAAATTGTATAATTCAACAGTTACCCACCATTTATGAACATGATGAGATAGAAAAACTAGAAGAGGCAGAACAAATAAATAATAATATTGGTTTAAATGTAGATAAATGGAACTTTACTTATGTAAATAAGGATAACTGAAAAAAGAATTTATTTCAAAATACTGGCATACAGATTCAGAAAGAGTCTGTAAATATCAACTAATAATACATAAACTTTAGTACGTAGTTCACAATACTGGTTTCTGTGTGGTGGCTTCACGCCGGTCATTGAAAATGTAATGTATATGGAATAAGTGTTATTAATATAAGTTAAAATTAGTGGATTATACATCAAAAAAAGTAAGATAACTTTAGAATGAAGGAACATATTTAAATTAAATTAGAACTGATAAAATGTTTGTTCAGTATAGAGAAAAGGAAAACATGGGAGAAAGTGATTAAAGTTGTGATTAAAACAAGACTTAAGAAAGAAACTTTGTAAAGCTTTAATTGCATTTTGGATAGGCAATTGTCTACTTAAATGTTAATGTATTTATACTGAGAAGTGCATATAATCATCATCAATATCAATATATATTATCAAAGTAAGTGTACAATGAGCGTGCTGCTATAACTCAGATATGAGTCCTGGTACGACCAAGTGAGTTATATGGTGTTGGTAGCCCTCTATCTTTCATCCATGAAGAAGGTTTTCGTTTTTACCTGAAGGGCGTGCTGTTGAAGATATAAGGGCTGGAAGTTTCGTCCTCTAGAAATTTCTAGAACATTTGACAGTATTCGAATTCATTCCACAACATTCCGGGATGTTTGGGAACATTCGGAACATTCAAAAGAAAATTCCCGGTGAGGAAAGAATATACAAATCGATCGACACGATGGTAAATGTTAAAATAAGTTTTAATTTTCCTATAGGATTTCTGAACTGTTTGCAAGTACAAGGAATACCATTACATTGCCTTCGACTGAAAATCGGATCTCCGATTATACTACTCAGAAATCTGAACTCACCAAAACTATGTAATTGAACAAGGATGATCGTCAAACAGCTATCGAATAACATCATCGAAGCCGAATTTTTGACTGGAAAGGACAAAGGACACACAGTATTTATCCCCAGAATACCACTGATCTCTACTGAACTGTCATTCGAATTTAAAAGACTGCAATTTCCAATCAAATTAGCCTATAGTTTTACAACTAATAACAAAGCGCAAGCACACACTTTAAAACATGGCGGCATCAACCTCAAAGACTCCTGCTTCTCTCACGGTCAACTATGTCTAGCTTGCTCTCGAGTAGGAAATTCGAAAAATTTCTACATATATACCCCGGATAACAAAATTAAAAATGTTTTTATAAACAAGTATTGTAAATAGTTAGAATATGTTTTAAATAAAATTTTTTTACCTCTTATATTTTGAAGTTTATCTTTACAACTACCACACAATATTACATTAACTCCCTGAGCGAAGCCGGGTACCCCAGCTAGTTAATTAATGAATTCCCTCATGTAAGCTTAGTTAGTGTGATAAGTCCTAAATGTTTAATTTTGTAGTAGCACAAAACATGTAATAATCATTTTACGTATTCAGATATAAAACAATAGACCGCCGGTCGGAAACCTGTAACACGCCGATTGTGCATAAAATTAATAACTTCAAACTATGATCTAAATATTTATGTGTTAGCTTCTAAAGTTGAACCACAAGAGAGTCACTAATGTTTAAATATTGTAATTTTTTATAATATTTTTATAGTGTATATTTTTAGTTAAATAAAAATGTGTTAATGTGCAATAAATTTTATAATTTTATTTTAGTGGCAGTAGTGTCCAGTATTTTCAATTACATATTTTGTGGCATGCCAATGTATTTTTGGTTGCCGACCGCTGCAATAGACGATTAGATAAAAAAAATATATTACTTTATGAGTAAAATTATACTAGTGATCGAGTAACAAGTCAAATTCGTATTTATTCAGCCAGAATAAATACGAAATACAAATAATAAAAGAATAATAAATAAATAAATAAAAATATAAATAAATAAATAATTAATAAATTNATAATAATTTAAATAAATAATTAATATTAAATAAATAATTAAATAAATAATATAAATAAATAAATAAAAGATTCGAAATCTTTTTGTATATGCATTTCCCTGTTAACTTATGTTTAAACACCTCAATTTTTAATGTTATGTACACATTGATTACTGATTACATGCAAAAATTTTTGCATGTAATTAACATAGAACATATTCGTGATAATTCCGTTCAGTTGCCCTAGAAGTAATTGAGTACATGGAGATATACAATACAGCTACCTTATTTATTAATAGTTCATGTTTAAATTTTCTTAACAATAATTTCCCTTCTTTGTTTCAATAAAACATAAAACTAAAATCTTCAAATTTGAATTATATTAAACACAAAATATCGCTTGTAAATATCAACATATTTTCAAGTATATCGAGCAGAAGTTACCATTAAATAATATACTTACTTGACCACCAAGCTGAAATATTCAACATAAATTATGTTTACTTTTGGACAGAAAACTACGTAAATTCATTTTAGTGATATACATTTAAATAAAATCCCATTTTAAAACTAGTGTTAAATATATTGAAATTTTTTATCACTGTATTAACAAAAATAATTTTCAATTAACAATACATATTTTCTTAGGTAAAACAATAAATGTAAAATAATTAAATGGTAAATACAATGATTTAGTTCTTTGATAACACTTATGAGCATTGTGTTTTGTAATTTATACAAAATATGTTTTTACTTTCTGACTCTTCACCAGAAGAAGAAATGACGCTATTTAATATAAAATAGACGAATTTATATCTGTATTGGAATATTATCAAACTCTTTGTTTAAAATTCCAAGTTTACTATAAGCTCTAAGCCAAATGACATAATAAAAACGTAATGCTAATTTATCTGCGGTTTAATTCCTAGTTCGGATTGACTGAAAAAAACATGTCTAAAATGTTTGCATCATGCTCAACTAAAATGTATAAACTTTTTACAGCTCCTATGATAGTTTCCGAAACATTTCACTTGCTCTGATAAATTGATTTATTTTCAATTAATTGGATACTTTGGTTTTATTTAATAAGGTAACGCAACACATGGTCAATCTGCTAAAACGAAGAATGCTTTCTGAAAGCATTTTCTATGAGAAACAGTCTTCAATTTGGCTATTATATAACTTTTGTAAAAAATTCCAGATTTAGCTTGCCCGTTGCAGAACTTCAATTCATTTACATGTGGATATCCTCTTCCAGCTCGTTATGTATTTTTACCCTTAAGTATTTTTCAAAGATTGCGCATTTGTTTTCTTTTAAAGATAATTTTATGGTCGAAGAAAGATGAACGGACATCAATGTCTTGTTATTTTTCAAGTATTTCAATAAATAAGTAATAAAACTAAAAACAATTACTTTTTTCATAAAACATAGCCTGATCAATACCACCAAATATAAATATATCAGTGTTTCTCTATACGCACAACATTCAAATTATATTGCTTGAAGCATTTTACAAGAGTCAAACTTGAATTTTATAGGTGATGTATACAATTATATGAATAATTATTCTTTCAATCACTATATCAGTGTATTTCTAATAATAGGACTTATACACCAGTATGATAAGTCCTACTAATAGAAATACACTGATATAGTGATTGAAAGAATAATTTTGATTAAATTAATAACATAGATGCATACTAATTAATTATATTCATATTTTCAGTTTGAAAATTTTAATGAGTATTATAGGCTTACTAATTTGTGAAAATTTCACATAAAATAAATAAACGTCTATGTTGTCATTGTTAGAAAGTTCCGAAATTTTTCTAAAAGTATCAAACCTACATATATATATTTCATTTTATCAATAAATATCAAAGATATGTATTCATTTTTATATACAGCACATCAATTTATTAAAACTACACATATGTAATCATATATATATATGTTTGTGTGTGTGTTTGTGTACAAAGATGCATTGATTTTGCGTTTTCTAATACAGTAAAATTAGATATACTACTTATACAAATTAATTTAAACTAATTAGTATAAGTAGTTTAAATTAGTATATTGAATGATACTTTAAATTACTTAGTATCATCCAGGATATCTGATTAGATTAGTCCGTTAATATTCACAAAAGTATACATAAGAGTATTCCACGTGCGTATCTACCAGAAATCTACGCTGCTGTGTTACCAGGAAACATTCAATAATATACAAAGGCCAATATATTGAGCTAAATATAACGACGCTATAATAAATTTAAGAGATAGACACGCACTATCGATAACAATACTACCACTCTTGGCCATGCTTCCTGCGATAAATTGATATTCAATACCGCCTGCCGCACTAACTCTAAAGTTGTTTTATTTACAAAACTGTTTAAAGAAAATAATAATTCTTATATGTACGCCAACAGATTCAATGTTCGGTAGGTCTAAATATATTTACTCTGCACAAAATCATTATGAAAAAAATTATTTTTTTAATAGTATTTCATTAAATAAACAATTGTTTATTAATTTCAAAATAGTGATATACAAATTCATTGATAAAAAATAGCGTATTGTTATACTTACATTACCAAGACTCTAAAAAATTCAATAAAATTATATTACTTCCAACAAGAAATGTTCNAACGACAATTAAGATACACGATATCGGCATGGACTTATACTATACCCGATACGCGATCGAGAGAGAGAGCTCACAAAATCGTTAAAACATACAACCTGTTCTAGTTATCGTTCGTCTTCTTCTCTGTAGGCAGAGGACACTTTGGAGATAAAGTTCATTTACTTCTCAACATGGGAGATAGATATGTGCACAAAATCGAAGTTACATTTTCTAAGTGCAGACTCGGAACTTAGTCTATGTGACTCGTCTAAGGGCGTTGGTCATTAAGAGGAAAATGAATGTGGAGTTTGGACGCTTTCAGATCTGTCGCGGAACTCCCCGAATTCTCGCAAATTTCCCCTATATCTCCGGATTTGCGACCAATCATCTCCTCGAAACTCGTTCATGTGAACGGATGAAAGGGGAATTAAAGAGGGGTAGATAGTTCCTATCTGAGCGAGATTTTTAACGGATAAGGGAAAAACAGAGGATGTACGGACTTCCCTCAAAGGAAGTAACATCTGTTATCTATCTATTCCCACGTCCAAAACATTAGTTTTTCACAAAAATGAAGTAATATCTTGTGACAATATTTTAACATTATTAATAAATATTATTCAGTTTTTATATTTATAGTATTATAAAAATATAAACTAAAATGTCGATATTATAACTTAATAAAAATTTTCAATCAGTACAAAAATAATATAACAATAACCCTTAGTATTCATTATAAAATTATTCCAAACATATTGCGTTTTTGTATCGTTTCTAAATTATATTATATGGAAATAAAGTGACGTATAGAACTAATAACGTGAAATATTCCAGAAATTATTTACTTTCTATGTTATAAAATATTACTGTCCATTATACCTTAACTGTTTTGTATAATGGTGGTTGTAAATAACTACGCGCCTGAGAAAGTGTAAAATAACAGATTTTCACAAAAAATTATGTGATAAACAAAAATATCTGCAAGTATTAAATTTATACTTACCTGAATAGTAGACTATAAAGATAAAAGAAAGTGTTTTATTAAATTTCAAATTTCAAAATAACACTTTTAGAGCAATTTATAATAACCTCTATCTTTAGTTTTTCAATATGATTATTGGTATAATTTAAATTAATTCAATTGTATAGTATAGAAAATTATGTTTAAGAATTATTTTTTATGTTTGCTACATAGATTTTAAAAAATGCTGTTCATGAATCCAATACTTTTTTCAATTCACTTAGATAGTTTAGTTTAATGGTATAAGGTAACGCATGGTCATTCTGCCGAATAGAATGCTTTTGAGATGATTTTTTATGAGAAACTGTTTTTATTCACATAATATATATGTTGTGTAGAAAATTCGAAAAAGTGCATTCAGCTAGCCTGTTAAAGAACTTTAATTCACTTAAATGTCGATATTTTCTTACAGCTCTGTATTTCTACTCTTTAATATTATACAAAGATTTCGTTTCTTTTCATTCAATGATACTATTATGGGTCAAAGAAACTACTGTATTAGCGAGCGATGTTGTTACTTTTAGGCAGAAAGCGACACCATATCTTTTTATTTTTAAATAGTTCAATAAATAAAAAATTAAAACAAAATCTATTAATTTTTTCATAACGCAAATACTATCAAATAATAATAATACTATACAAATAATAATATACCACCAAAAACTTAAAATATTCTCTAAACTAAAATTTACTGTTCATTTTCTCATGAACAACACAGAGTACGAGACTATTTTTTACCCTACATAAACAATATCTATGTATATTTATTATACCCATTAATCAGACAAATTAACTCATACTTTTCTGTTACAAATTGAAAGGAAATGACAAAAACAAAAACAGAATAAAAGTTTCACCATGACAAAAGATTAGAATATTAGTAGAAACTACCAAGAAAACACTCATAAAAATTATATTGTAATGAAAATTTTCATATTTCTGAGGAGAGCGGTATAACAGTATGTGAGAGCAGCCAAGGGTATAAGTGAATTACCTATATCACTTACTGGCGCACGATCGTGTGATCGGCTCTGTAAACTTTTTATAGGAGGGCGATAAATACGCGAAACCGATCTAGACTGCGAGGTCCAGATCTACGTCAGGACTGACACCAGTTTGTCAATTTATCGATCCGCGGACAAATACGCGTGCGATTTCCCTTTCGATCTGATTCAGAGACAAATCAACAGACATATCTTATATAAAACAAACAAGAGTAAATTTAATGATTCAAAAGTAAAATTAATACAAATATCGAGAGGCGAGGGATATAAAACGACAATTAAGATACACGATATCGGCATGGACTTATACTATACCCGATACGCGATCGAGAGAGAGAGCTCACAAAATCGTTAAAACATACAACCTGTTCTAGTTGTCGTTCGTCTTCTTCTCTGTAGGCAGAGGACACTTTGGAGATAAAGTTCATTTACTTCTCAACATGGGAGATAGATATGTGCACAAAATCGAAGTTACATTTTCTAAGTGCAGACTCGGAACTTAGTCTATGTGACTCGTCTAAGGGCGTTGGTCATTAAGAGGAAAATGAATGTGGAGTTTGGACGCTTTCAGATCTGTCGCGGAACTCCCCGAATTCTCGCAAATTTCCCCTATATCTCCGGATTTGCGACCAATCATCTCCTCGAAACTCGTTCATGTGAACGGATGAAAGGGGAATTAAAGAGGGGTAGATAGTTCCTATCTGAGCGAGATTTTTAACGGATAAGGGAAAAACAGAGGATGTACGGACTTCCCTCAAAGGAAGTAACATCTGTTATCTATCTATTCCCACGTCCAAAACATTAGTTTTTCACAAAAATGAAGT